ATTATGCATCTCATTAGATATTTGTATAAATGTATAAATGTATACTACAACGTTTCTGCAATCGAGTGTAAATATTAAATATCAATATGCAAATATGCAGTTTTACCTTTTACTTTTATCTAAATTGGGCTTCCTGTGATCTTTTGTTGTGTCTTAGGTCTGGAAGTTGCAGACGGGTCAATGTCTGAGAAGATTCGAGAGAGCTCACGCCAAGGGTGTAACATGTGTGATGTTCTCTCGTGATGCAAGTCAGCTGTTGAGTGGCTCATTTGACATGACAATAAGGTAAGATGATGGTGGTAATGTTGATACTTGATAATGATTGTGATGATGATGATGATGGTGATGATAATACATAATGATGATGATGGTGATGATGATACATGATGATACATGATGATGATGCATGATGCTGATACATGATAATGATGGTGATGATGATTATGATGGTAGTGATGATGGTGATGATGATGATGATGATATATGATGCTGATGCATGATAATGATTGTGATGATAATGATGATTATGATGGAAGTGATGATGATGATGATCCATGATGCTGATACATGATAATGATTGTGATGATGGTGATGATGATGATTATAATGATACATGATAATAATTTTAACAATAATCTTGATGGTGATGATGATGATGGTGGTCATGATGATACATAATAATGTTAACCATGTTGGTGATGGTGATGATACATAATGATGACAATGATGACAGGAACGGCGAAGATAAGAATAAGGATTTCATATGAATTCTTCTTGATCCTAGGATGCATGGACTCAAATCTGGGAAGACACTAAAGGAGTTCAGAAGCCATACATCGTTTGTTAATGATGTCATCTTCACGTCTGATGCTCACAATATTATAAGCGCAAGCAGTGATGGAACTGTCAAGGTAGGCAATGGTGGTGATGATGATGATGATAATGATGATGATGAGGATGGTGATAATGATGATGGTGGTGGTGATGATGGTGATGATAATAATACAGGATGATGATGATGGTGACGATGAGGATGGTGATGATGGTGATGATGAGGATGGTGATGGTGATGATAATAATACAGGATGATAATGATGGTGATGATGAGGATGGTGATGATGAGGATGAGGATGGTGATGATGAAGAAGATGGTGGCAATGATGATGGAGGTGATGATGATAATGATGATAGTGATAATGATAATAATACAGGATGATAATAATAGTGATCATGGGGATCATGGTGATGGTAATGGTGAAGATAATAATACAGGATGATGATGATAGTGATGATAATGATGGTGATGATGATAATGATGGGTGATGATGATGAGATGATAGTGGTGATAATAATAATACACGATGGTGATGGTTATAGCGGTAGTGATGATAATAATGCATATAGTAATAACAGTAATAACTATTTCTTTGTAGATCTGGAACATCAAATCCACTGAGTGTTTGCACACATTCAAGCCATCAGTAGGCAGCACCACAACAGACATCACAGTCAAYTCAGTCACACTTTTCCCCAAGAATGTGGAGCAGTTTGTTGTGTGTAATCGTTCAAATACTGTGGTGATCATGAACATGCAAGGGCAGGTAAGAGACTGATAATTCTTGGCATTACATGTAAACATTCAAACCTTGTACTAGTGCACTGACTGATGACTAACTGACTGACTGACCTACGGACGGACGGACTGACTGACTGAACTACGGACGGACGGACGGACGGACGGACGGACGGACGGACGGACGGACGGACGGACGGACGGACGGACGGACGGACGGACGGACGGACGGACGGACTGACTGACTGACTGACTGACTGACTGACTGACTGACTGACTGACTTGCTCTCTAAACTCACTTAATGAGTGACTGAATGACTGACCTGCTCTCTAAAATCACTTAATGAGTGACTGACTTACTCACTCACTGATTGATCTACTGACTAGGGGAATTAATTGAGTGATTGATCCCATTGCAGATCGTTCGTAGTTTCACAAGTGGTAAGCGTGAAGGTGGTGATTTTGTTAGCTGTATTCTATCACCTCGTGGAGAGTGGATGTACTGTGTAGGGGAAGACATGGTCTTGTATTGCTTCAGCACAACCACAGGAAAACTAGAACAATCCGTACAGGTAAGTTAATCACATAACCTTTCTAATCCAGCCTCTGACCGGTCATTACTTTTTGCTCGTTCTTGCAGGCTCTCTTGTACATCATGTTGGTCATGTTGGTTGAATTTGACAAAATATTTTCTAGCTTTCATTTGTCATATCAACCTTTTGCTAGTTTTCAGTCATTCTCAAAAGAATTTACTGCAGTTACCGCCATTTGCATTGCTACGCGGCCACCCCAGACAAAAATCGCGACGTGCACTTTGCAATAGACTGCCGTCAATCAAACACGTTGACATCATTTACACGCGTGTGATTCAAAAGGCGCCAAAACTTCGGTCGATTGTTTACAAGTATTATGAGCCACACTCACCGGGCCGATCCAAACGCGTGTAAATGACGTCAACTTGTTTGATTGACGGCAGTCTATTGCAATTTTTGTCTGGGGTGGCCGCGTAGCAATGCAAACGCCGGTATCTTTTGTTAAATTCAAACATGACGACATTATGGTTTTCTGCGAACTCAGACATGTCATTTTGTGAAATTGGTTTTTTACTGCCGCMCGTCAAGAATATAAAAAGATTATTTTTGATTGACAGCAGCGAAAAACCAAATTTCAGCCCACAGCTGGCAAATACCGAGTTTGCAGAATATCGAAAACTGCAGTAAATGATAAAAGAAATTGAGGCTATGTTGGTTGGTGGATTAATATAGACAAATGACACATTTCGTTCAATTCAAACATGATGGCAATATGGGGGGCATTGATCATGTCATTCTCATGGAAATGATTAAAATTAAAATTTTTTATCGAACCCTGAGACAACCCCTGCATATGAAATACTTTCAACAACAAAAATACAAAATTGAATCTTAGATCACGTGATCATTCTTCGTCACGTGATGGGCATCTTTCCTTACACGGATATCCTTGTTTCCTATAGGTTCACGAGAAGGATGTCATAGGAATAGCTCACCATCCACATCAGAATTTACTCGCTACGTACAGTGAAGACGGGCAGCTAAAACTGTGGAAACCATAGAAACTATCCACTACCTTTTTACCAACGTCTATCGGTATCCATGTTGGAAAGAATCCTGAGATAGAGCTGTATTTTCTAGAGGTTTCTAGGACTTTCAAGAAGGGCGTGAAGAGAAATCCAATCGTGATGTACATATGATCCAGACTTCTGGTCAGAAATAGTAACAAACACTCAATCCTGTTGCGTAGCTATGGAAACAGTTTAGAAAAGTAAACAAGCCTCCTATCTAAAAAACCTCAAGGTTATATCTTGAACTAGGTATCCATGGTAACTGATATGAAATGTAACCTGGCCTCACATGGAGCCATATTGAAGGTAACCGCGCCTTCTGCAGGCTTCCCGCCATCTTGGAAACAAACAATTTTCATCATAATAACTGTTTTTTTAGCCTTCTATTTGACTCAAATTTTATTTTCTCTTAAAAGAAACTGACTGTATTATTTAGTGTATCTTATTTTAATAAACTATTAGTGCTTGTGAACATGTCTTGCTTTTTTATTTGATGGTTTTATAGTTGACCTTTAACGAGCAGCACTTTCTGGTAGCCAACTTTCGCGCCTCACATTGGTATTTCTCTTCTTTTTTCTCTTATATACACTCAATAGGACGTTTGCACGATGGCGTCATTGACCTCTACTACCAGACTCCCTTGCACACTTTCTTTTGTTCAGTTAATTAGCACCAATTGTCTTACTATTCTCATGAGGGAATACAAAATTAAATGAGAAAGAAAATTCGCGAAGTATCCTGTTAGTGGGAGTCAAATGACGCCATCATGCAAACGTCCTATTGAAGAATTGTTGTCGGCTTCAGAAACATACAACATAGCCGGGGGGGGGGGGGGGGGG